TATATATATATGCACACACATATGTATATGTATATATATCTAGAGAGGGAGAGAGAGACAGAGCAAGCTCATTAAGAAACAAAAACATGGAAGAAGAGGAGAATAATTTTTACAATGAACAAGAAATTTAACTCACAACTTACAAATAGTTCATATATAAAATATTAAAAAATTAATAACATAATCTATACTTAAATTTTCTTTTGTCTTTAAAGCAATTTATTGTTTGATCACTTAAAATAATAATTATTATAATAAGCTTTACCATTAATAATGATTTTACAAATATAAATTATTTCTAATTATAGTTATTAATTAAATGAAAGGACAATAGTATGTAATCATGTCACTATAAAACATTTCTACAGGGAGTTATAAACATTTGACTTGTGAACGTTCCTCTCTGGGGAACTTTCTTTATGAAAAATGTAGTTTAGGACTCTATAATATAAACATATCTTAGATAATCATACTATTCTCTCTTTTATCATATTCCCAAGTATGTTTTTATAATATTCACCCATTGTATTATGCAAGAAAATATTGGTTGCCAAATGCATATCTAAAATACATTTATTTAAGAAAAACATTTTTTTTTACTGGTTTGATTATTTTAGAAGGATTTTCAAGATCACCAGAAGTCCTTCTATGATTAGGAGCCAGAGAAAGGGAGTCATATATGCCATAATTTATTCTTCCCTTTTGTGTGCTTTTCTTTCTCCCTGTCTGTTTGTTGTTGTTTGGTTTTTTTTCCCCCTACTGAAAGGTCAGTGATTTGAGCTCACCTGCCATACCTTGGAAACCCTAAACAGGGTAGCTATGGGTCGGAACCAACTCGACTGCACTTAACAACAGCAACAACGTATCACATCTTTACAGAGTCCTGGTGTGGTGCTATAGGGTAAACCCTGGACTGCAAGGTCGGTTTAAAACACAAGATCAAGGGCTTAAACTCACCAGCCACTTCTTGGAAACACTATACAAGGTTGGTATGAGTCAGAACTGACTCAACAACACTTACCAATGACAACTTCTTGTATCTTTATTTGTTTCTAATTTTGTTTCCTTTCTCCTTAATACAAACAGTCTTCCATCACATGGTCCATAGTACACTTTCAATTAATCCTTTCCAGTTCATGATACAAAGGCAAGAGACATCTGTTACCAACTTCAATACAAGCGTCAGTTGGAGAAGTTGATTGACCCATTTTTAATAGGTGTCAATCACTAGACGTTCTCTTGGATTCAAGATGATTAGTTGTATGATTACTATTATTAGTGTGTTAGTACCGTTTAGAAGTGCTGGAGTTAGGATGCTTTGGTTTATGCTCTAACAGGTATTCACAAGATTTGGTTTATACTTTGACTCTGTCATTTGAAAGACTGAGACTTTGGAAAATAATCTCCTTCTCTGGGATTCAGAGTTTTTGCATGTAAAATAAGGACAATTGTACTTAATTCACAGATTTGTTGTGATGATTATATATAAACACTTGGTCCCTCTGAATGTGCTCAGCAATGTCAACTATTATTATTGTCATTATTATAGTAATCATTATATACTTTTATTCACATTGCCTGAATCAAATTATCTACTGAGAAATGGACTGGTGGCTGTCTTGGTTGAGGGTGAGGGGGCAATAATTCAAGTTTATTTCAGTTAAATCAATTTGGCCAAATTTGGTTGTATGGAAGGCATGCATTATCTGCTGATGCACAGGCACTTCACAAATTAAAGAGTACCCAGGGAAGCTTATCAAAAGTCTTTAAAGGGTGATATTGCCTTAATTAAGGCACTCTGGTAGCATAGTGGTTACGAATTGGGCTGATAACCTCAATGTCAGCAGTTTGAAACTACCAGCTGTTCCGTGGGAGAAAGATGAGGCTTTCTGCTCTCATAAAGATTTGCAGCCTCGGAAACCCTGTGTAGGGTCACTATGAGTCAGAACCGACTCCACGGTACTTAACAACAACAACATTGCCTCAGTAGGGGTCTTGGTGTGGAGTTATAATATAAACACAGGACTGCTAACTACAAGTTAGTGGTTGAAACCGACCAGCTGCTCCTTGAAAACTCTATATAGGGTCATTGTAAATCAGAAGTGACTCAACAGCACTTAAAAGCAAAAACATCTCCTTGGAAAATTTATGAGTCAAACATTTGTCCTTTGCCTTGTCCTAGTGTAATTGATACCTGGATTCCTAAAATCATACTCAAAATAGAGTCAAATATATAAATCATAATGTAAATTCATTGCTATTATTAACTATTTGTGAGTCAGCCCAATTCATGAAGTCTTAACAAATAATGGAACAAAATTCTCCCATGTTCTGTACCATCCCTCTAATTAAATGGGGTTTGAACCATTGTGATCTTTGTGATCAGTTTTTATTGACTGATTTTTCAAAATGTATCTTATACCTTTCTTCTTAATACATCTTAGTGTTAAAGTTCCTCCAAAACTTGTTCAGCATCATAGCAACAGGCAAGCTTCCAACAGATGGCCAGACAATGACTGCACATAAGGTATATTGGCTTGGAATTAACTCCAGGTCTCCTGTACTGAAGACAGATATTCTACCATGGAGCCATGGAGCCTCTAGTGCCATCCCAATGTAAAGATAGTCATTGGGAAAAAAAAAAAAAAAAGTTCCAGAAGTAGCTGTAATTTTTATGTTTCCAATATGGAGTCCTAGTGTGGCACTGTGGGATAATGCACTAGATGGCAATATCAGTTTGAACCACAAGATCGGCAGTTCAAATTCACCAGCTGCTCCTAGGAAACCTTATACAGGGTCACTATGAATCACTTTGAGTTGTTGTGTTGGAGGAGAATACTGAGGGTGCCATGGACTGTGTTGGAGGAGAATACTGAGGGTGCCATGGACTGCCAAAAGAACCA